ACGAACTATTAGAAAGAGGAGAAAGCGACAGTCTTCGTACGTTGAATGAAAACAAGGTAAATGGCTCAATAACACTTTTATTTGGAGGAAACGAGTAATAATATTGGAAAAATAGAATGATGAATCAGAAAAGGTCACTTGTGAGCTTTGAATTGAAAAAAAATTTTTTTCTTAGATCATACAAGGCATGTTGTTTGCTTAAAGCCATATGGCAGCAAAGTCAACAAAACTTTTTTTTTGTGAAATATCAGCAAATTTACAAGAACCTTCTAGCTTCGTTAACTAGATTATACAAAAAAATGGAAATATAATGAATTTGCACTACAAATAGTTAGTAAATTTGTTGTCTAGAGGTCAATGAATCGGAGACTTGCAGCATTTGACAGTATACAAGGCCACTCAACTTAGGAATCTACTGTTGATCTTAAAACACTAAAGTAACTAAACCAATCAATGTGAAAATACAAAGAGCGTTTCTGACAATATATTATAATTGATGAAGTTTATAGTAACTTTGGAATGTTGAGCATGAGGAGGATGGGCTTAAGCATGAAACTGCCGTAGATGTGACTGTTTTGAATCAGACGTGATCAACATACGCTACTACAGAAAGTTAATGGGAAAAAACAGTAAAAATCTGGCAAGCGTCCAAATAGGAAATACTTCAAGTGAAAACATATGGATACCTAAGAAGAAGAAGAAGTATAATGAAAAATTAGTGAGAGGCCAGTGAAAAAAAAAAGATGGAGGAGGACAGGAGGTGGCTAAGAAACAGAGAGAGTTTTCCCTTCAAACCTTTTTATCGCTACTCATCTTAGCAATCTCAGCATGCTGCATACTCTCTCATACTTCTTCAACGTTTTTTTCTATTTTTTTCAGTTATATTTCTGTTTTTCAAATTCCTTTCGGGCAATAATTGACCTTGGTGGCCGAAACTGAAAAACGGTCGATGTTGCGATTGGGGGAAAGTGACAGCGAAGGAACAGCTGATCAGAAAACCATTTTTTTTCTTAAGATTCAAAAAGTGTTTTTTGTAATAAATTGTGGGAGAATTATGAGAAAGCGGAGAACGGAACCAAAAAAATGGAAAAAAAAAAGAAAATGAAAAAGAAAACGAAAATGGAAAGTAGGAATTAACAACATGTATTAAACAATAGCAATAATCCAATGAGTGAATAGGAATTTGAATAGGAATTTGCTTAAAAAAAAGAAGGAAATATTCAAGAGAATTATTGAATTTTAATCAAAAGAAAACAAGTGATTCCCATAAATGCAAACCGGGAGTCATCACCATTGCAATAAAAACGTTTTTAACGCATTTTATATTTGGCAGTTGAAAGTTGAGAAGACGACAGAACGATAGCAGTGCTTATACAGTGATGGACCGAACTTATATTATAAAGAATCGAAGGAAATGTTAAAGTAAAAAATGAAAATGAAACATTGTTATTATTTGTTTTTGTTGATTGAATAAATATGAATTCATTAGATGTTCCACTTAACAATAGTCTCGTGATGTGTTGAAGCTCAAAGTTCAAATACTTGCATGATTTCTGTCTTTTTTTTAAATAAACTGTTGACATATTGGTAAGGATGAGGAAGAGATGAGTGAGAAAGGAGAAGGAGGGAAATAGAGAAAGAGAGAGAGAGGAAAAGAGAGAGAGAGGAAGAGAGAGAGAGAATGTGGAAAAGACACAACCGTTCCCTATGAGTGCAGAAAAAATAAATGAAAAGCAACAGTATGGCACCCATCGTCCACGTGGGTCACGTGAGTTCTCACGTAAACGAAGTGTTAATTTGAAGAAAATGAGAAGAAATAAATATGAGTAAAGAACAAGTTTTTTAATGGAAAATTGTAGATTTTCAATTTGTTGTTCGTCTTTTCACATCAGACAGACTTGACCTTTCCATGAAAATAGCTGAAGTTGTGAGAGTTAATTGAAAAATTAAGAAATCATTAGTGAGCACTGTCAATACAGAAGTATAGAAGAGAAGGAGAAGGAGAGAGAGAGAGATAAAGAGAGAGAGAGAGAGATTGTGACTGAGCAGACAATCAAATCACAAATAGTAATTCATAGATAAGTACTACTGCGTTGCAAAGGTGTTTGTTACATAATTATTATAAATAATAATAATATTTCTATATTATTCAAAAATAATTATAATCAAGGTAGAAGCACAAGATATAATACTCATGAATAGCTGAGATCTTCAACAAGAAAAAAAAGGTCTGCAAATGAAAAGCATATACGCATTGTGTGACGACTTCTCCAAAAAGACAAAATAGATAGATGATAGATGAGTTTGACCCTAAAATGCCTTCTTCAGGGTTTTGAGCCTTTCACAAATTCATCCTCTTTCCTATAACGGCTGTATCATTTTAGGAAGACGCCGACGAAAAAACATTTTCGAATCTTAGTCTCCGGAACTCAAAGGACAACGAGGGCAGATTAAGTCTCGAAACTTGGAACAGTTTGAAATGAGTCTCAATAATCAGTCTTTTATTTTTATTTTTTTTAAAGTTGTAGCTAAGAGTTCAATAAACACGTAACATGTTGTCTAGACGTGGGAATGATTTTCGTAAACCTGGGAATGTGGCATGCATGTTATCATAATCATGTGGAAGTGAAGAGAGTAAGAACAAAAAAAAATGATGGAAGAAGCTAAAGTAATAAAAAATAGATAAATGGGAGGAAAAAAGGCGATTAAAAAGGTCAAAGTAAGTGCAATGCTGTTGGTTGGACAAGAAAAGAAGCAGTTGATTTGTCATGCATTGTGTGTTTCTCAAATAAACACTGAAAAACGATGAACAAGTTGCGAAGTTGTTTGAAGAAGATCCAAAAAAATGTTTTATTCGTTTAAAGAAACATTAAGAGTATTTATAAATAGAGAATTCAATTATTATTCGCAAGTGCGCATTGAGATGTAGGAAGAGAATGACACAGAAAAAAATTTTTTTTCACATTCAAAATAGACGTCAAGACTGTACGTGTACGTCACGTGGAGATTGCATATGCAAAAAAAAAGTTCGTTTTGATTTAAAAAGAAACTGCTTGTAACAATTATATATCTAAGAACATTCGTTTTATTGAAATTTTAATTGAAAAACGAAAAGACAAATGGTTGTTGATGGACGTTGATAGAATCCCAACTGCCTTCCTTTCCAGACAGTAGATTGTCGGGAAGAACCGGATGACGACTATGATGGAAAGGCGAGAAGAAGAAAATGAAAAAGAAAGAAAAGAATATGGTTGGGTTAGGCCACCCACAGAGATTCCGACGTTTTCGCAACTTTTAAGGAATTTTATTTTTCAAAACGATATATATGCCAAGGCGACAGAAATTTAATTAATTATAATCATTAATAAGATTAATTTGAATTTAAGAAGAAGTTCTGAAGTTCGTATTGCAATAAGCAATACAACATGTAATATGCTTGCATAAGTTGCTGATAATTAATAAATACAAACATTCGTTTCTCAACTGATTCTGGAGTTGAAAAGTTGATAAGTAAAGAGATCTTTCCTTATCTTCCTCATAAGGTTGAATCAGCAAATTCCAAACTTATAATGTATGATACAAACAATACCTTCCTACGCTGCATCAAATGAACTCAGAACGAACAAAAAAATAGAAGATGAAGAAGAAGGATGAATGATTGTACTTTAATAACTTTGCAATGATTTTCCGAAATACTTTTCAATCAAAAGACCTCCCAAATAGGTCTGTAATTCTCTTCATAATGGAGAAAGACTGTTTCACTTAGTTTTCGTCAATTAAAAGTGCCTCTTACAGCTAGATTTCCTTTTGTAGTGCCAGACTGATTGTTACAGAATTAATAAAGCGGAATATAGTCTGTCATTTAGAACACTTTTTTATTTTTTAATTTCACCTTTTTTTCTCTCATCTTCTACTTTGACGTTACTTCTAAACATGTATTGGAAAAAACATTCTACTTTCCACCCTCGAATTCAGCTCACAGACCTCACATTACGAGAAACCATATGACCTTACTTGAACAGACAATGTGACAGAACAGGATGAAAATGGTATAAACTGTCTGAAATCCATGTAAGACCGATACGGACAATAACTAAAGATGGTTTAGACGCTGAGAGAATTGGAACATTCCTCTGCTGATAGCTAGGATTGGATGAAAAAGAGTAGAAAGGTTCATTTACTCGGTGGGAAAATGATTTTTTTCCAATTCAAAACCATCTTATAAGGAAATAAGAATGAAAAAACAACATGAAAAAGAAAAAATGAGGAGAAAGTATGATAGTGCGTGTGCGAAGTTTGTGAGGTAATTGGGTTCAGGATTTGTGGAGCATATTTTTTGGTAAAAACTATGAGGAGAAGAGGAAGATAAAGGAAGAACTATTCAAGTGCATGTTGATGAGTGGTATCTCTATGAAGACGGATAGACAGAAAAACCTTAGTAGTAAAGAGGAAAAAAGATAGTGAGAGAGAGTGAGAGAGAGAGGTATGTAAGAGGTAAACTGGATGAGAGAGAGAGAGAGAAAAAGATAGAGGGAGAGAGAAAGGAGTAGAATCATTTGAATACAAAGTCCATGGTAAGTAAGAATAGCTGCAGCTTAGAAACGATGCTAATCAAATCAGACACCCATTGAACCATTGGTTATTCTGTGCTTCTTTCTCGAAGTCCAGACTAATTTATAAAAAAAAGTTAAAGAGAAAAACATTTTTTTAAGAAGCTTGGTTGTTTCATAAATTCTTTATGTCAATCTACACGATCTTAAGTTCTGAGAATCAGCAAACTTTCACATATTCATTATATTTTCTATATATACGAATATCAAACTTCCCAAAATCATATTTGAGCTGATTAGCATATATCACGTGAAATTCATTTTTTAGCTCATGAATATTTATAAATTTATTATTAATTTGTTATCAAACAGACAGATAATCATATTATGTTTTTTATATGTACATTTATATATTTGTATACAAGATTTCATGTTTTGGTTTCATCATCTTCATGTTGGAGTAGTTGAAGTGGGCTTCGAAGTTGATAGGTCGTCTTTATTCCCTAGAGTACAAGTTTTTTATAAATTCAAAAATCAATTATTACGAACTTTCTCTCAATATTTCTGATAAATTGGGGTTCTGTTGAGGAAGACCTGAATACTTCTCTGAATGTTCATCTGAAAATAGCCATAGCTTATGTGTTATTTTGCAATAAATACCTGAAGGAAATTCAGAACGAGGCATCCGTTCTGTATCTGATTTGATTGAATCAAAATATTTGGCGGGATAATCAAGATTGTCATTCTGAATAGAAGAAGAATCATACTAGTATAATGCATGTTAATAACTTTAGCTACGTAATGTGGATCCCATACGTAGATGTAGTAAACGCTCAAGGATAAAGCAGGAAGAGATACGAAGAATATATATCCTAGTACTGTTAGGAAACGGATCCACCTGGAAGTATAATCGGTAGTGAATCTTGAAAATATTAATTTATCTGATTTAATTTATTTCTGTATGAACAGAACAAAGATTATGTAACATGTGAAGACGTAGCCTAATTAGCAACTCATGAAACATACCTTTCTGGCTCTCGCACAAATCTTCGAGCAGAGAAGAATTCGTTTTGAGAGGATTTACGAGACTCCATCTTATCTCTTATTAAAAATAATAAAATATGAATGAAAAGTATTCAGAAAGACATGAGTCCGGACACAGGGAAGAAGAAATGTCGCTCAAAATGATTTTTATAAGTTTGGGGTTGAAATTTAAGAAAAATGCGATGGAAATTCGATTTTCGTCGTTTGTTTGCTGTCTGCTGTTGCTTCAATTTGAAGGAATTCAAGAAAGTTTAGAAGAAGGAGATGGATATACAAAGACTTCGTCTAGCTCAGTTTACCATTCAGCCGTCGTGACGAATGGTGGCAGAAAGATTTCTTTGCCATTTCTTTCATTTCTATCGTTTAATATAAGATGGTCTCTAACTTACTTCTTATTCTCTCTTTGAGTAAATTTTGCTCTTTTGTCTGAAGTATATACGGGCTGCTTCTGATAACTACGACGATGTCTTGCAGAATAATTATTTGAAGTAGAACAATTATTCATTTTTCTTCTGAAAACACGTATATTATTACATGCAATGGAATAATAATAGAGATCTAAGAGAAGGCTTTCTTTACATTTCACAAAGTCTATGTCGAAGTTTTTTTCTTCTTCTTCGTAACTTTATATTTCATTGAATTTTGAATTGAGACGAATAAAAGTGTCTTTACAGGCAGCAGCCGTGTTTAGCAATTAGACTCAACGAACAGCAATGAACCTATTCATTAATTGAGAATCGTCTACATAGTAAAACTTAACGAATAATCTTTTTAATGATTCATTATACTAAACAACAATGAGGTGTTGTGGGGACTTTCCTAATCGAAAGAGGAGTTTGAGCAAAAACATTGTCACATTTCACGTCTTGTCATATGTTGAATCTGCATTATCCAGCTTGCAAAGGTTACAACGAAGACTAAGCTCTCATGAAATTGCTTTTTTATGGAACGTTGGAGGAATTCATTACAGAACAATCAAACACTACTGAATAAACGTTTTTTTATCTAAATAGTCTGGAGACATAGACTTCATGATCGCACAAATGCTACTCTCCTGTTGAAGGAAGACAACCAGAAGCCGGGAGCAGCCTCGTCGTCTGCCTCGCGTCGATCGATTGTCTGGCTCTCTTCATTCCACATAGAATCCTCCTTACTCTCAGTTGAATATCATAAAGAGAGTTAAGATGGCATTTTCAAAAGTTTTTCTCCGAGTGCCCATTATCATGTTCATTGTCGTCTTCAACTTTTTCTGTCTTGGATTTAATGAAACTCATGCCACTCATCATTCCATTCTCATCCGCTCTCTAATTTTTGGACCATTGTTATAAATACTTTTTTCCAGACGTGAAGAATTTGCTTGTCCAAAAGAGAGAGATGGGCGCCTAACTCTATACTGGCTTCTGAGGATCACCGAGATTAGGTTTCCACCGAACGTAATTGACATACGGAGATTCAATAAAAATGTCCACTGCAATTCTTGAAGTAGTAGTAGTTTGCAGGCCTTAATAAAGATAAAAAAATTTTAAACTTAAAATAACATGAAACATGAAGAGGCAAGATATTAAGATCTATAGGAACCCCAGTCTTTTTCTCCAGTTTCAAGAGCATGAAGAGTGCGAAATCTTCGACACATCTTCATATAGCCATTGTCACTAGGGACTATTTGTTCATAAAGATTCATATGATGATGGTTCTGAAGCAAAAGAATGCAGAGAAACGAAGAAACATCTTGACTTTAACATCCATTTTTTTGTTCCTATGAACAACGGGAAGTATTTGTGGCGTTGTTCACATGCAATGATAATAATCTCAATTAGTAAGTGTGATGATTTGAATAAGTAATTATTCCTGACCCAGGACATCAATCACTGCTACTCTTTTCTTTTTTTGCGTGCGAACCTATTAGCCGCAATATTGTCCATCCGTTCGGTGCATGGTCTTATTCTGACTCCTCCTCCAATGCAAAGGGTGCACATCGTGTGGTCAACAGTTGGCCACGCCTCTTTGTGCTGTAATCGGTGGCGTCCACAGCCTGCTAGCTGTACATGCCTTGGCTCTGCACTTTAATTTTTATAAAAATATTAAATATTTTATTGCTTCATGTGTTTTTAATATGCAAATTAGACTATATTCATGACTAATCCATTCACTATGTTTGAAGTTTTGCTTATTCTTGACCGTATTAATCATTTTGCTGAGCTGTTTATCACATAAAACATTCGATTCCCAAGTTATTGTGAAATGCTTCCGTACAGATCATCATTTTCTTTGTCAACACTCGATCCTGAATTTTCAGCTTCTGGTCAGGTTAACATCAGGCTGATCAGGGGGGCACAATGGCTCACCTAGTCGAAAATGGCATATTGAGCGATGGTTCATGGAGTTTGCCAATATTGATCACTGACATGAATATACAAAGGTATTTGCGAGAGTTCCGAAGTTTACAGAACACTTTTCTTTGTCAGAAGTCTTTATGTAAGAGGAGATTTACATGTTGGAGGTCTCATGCTACGTCTCGTACAAGATGTTGGTCAGTGTTTTTCAGAATATTTTTCTAAATTTTTCTCTCTCCACTTCAATTATACTCGGCTTATTTGAGTTATTATCCATATATGCTAAAACGGGTATGCCTAATCCTAAATTTGACTTTAACCTCATGCTCTCACACACGAAAAGAACTGTTTATCGATCGAATACAGCAATCTCTTATTCGGTCTTTTCGCAGCTGCTTTTTCATGACTTTTGACTAGTTTTCCATTTCATCAAAGGAAACGAAATAATGAAAAATCCTTTTTTGTTTAGCTTTTTGATTTTCATTCCAATCGCTCTCATTTACTTATGTGTTCTTACATTTCTTGCGTGTGTATATATTTCTTGTTCCCCTTTTCTCTTACTTCTGATCAATGCTCTGCTTTCTGCCATTCGTTGGAAGGAAGGAAATGGAGGATGAGAGTGTGTTGGGAGGATATAGGGGTAGTTGCTGCCGCCTACCCTATTACACTGTTTCTTGCTACCCCCTGTCTCTTTATAACTTTCTTCAGGCCACCCCCTCTCCCAAAGAATCTTGGAGGGGTATGAAGGATAAACAGGTTTAAAGATAAGATATAGAGTGTAGTCGAGAGAAATTGGCAGATACATAGTTCAATGCAGAGAAAAAAGATTTCTGCAGATTTCTTCTCAATGATATTATTTTGACTAAAACATCAGTTTTCTACTGAATCGAAGCTTTCCAATTATCGAAAAGCCATCAGATAGAAAGTCCCATAAAAAGAGAAAAACCGAAACATTCTGAAAAATCTGAGCGTATTGAAGTTACAACATGAAATTGTTGCGTTAAATTGGCCATGATAGTTACGAGGTTCAACAGAGTTTTTGAATCACAGTTGTCGATTCATTGTCTCTCCTCTCCTCTCTTTCCTTTTTTTGAAGATTCTTCACACTCAGAAAAAAAATATAATCAACCTCAAACTTTCAATACGCCTGAGCTATCGAAGAAAGAATAGCTTTGATTGAAGATATGTAACGGGAAAGGTGCATCACCTTTTGATTTTCACAAGACCGTTGTTGCAATGGTTGAGTGTGCAGTGGCCAATAAGCAGTTGATATCCCGCTTAGATCGAAAAAACCTTTTTGTACCTACCTATACAGTATTGATTATTATAGAACAGTATGTATCGTTCAGAGCCTTATCATCTTTTGTATAAAAAGAAATACTGATGCATATTTATTGGGTCAAAGCGAGAAACTCTGAACAAACGAGATACGAAGAGAAAAAGAGAACAGAAGTGAGAATTACGAAGGACACACTAGCCTTTCGTCCTCATATTCAAAAGTTTCACCAGTATTGATAGAAAACTTCATATAGCTACTGGATGAAGAGGGAAAAAAACATAATTTCCAGCTTATATCTCCATATTCATCGATTCACATATTTGAGAAAGGTAGTATTCACGTGAACGAAGAACTAGCAGAGCACCTACATACTCTACTATTTATTTGTTTTGGTAGGGAAGAGAGAAACATACAAATAAGAGAGAGCTGGGAGAGGTTAGCAAGAGTGGTTATGTAGAAGCCGAAGAATTATAAGATAATAAAGTAGGAATGAGCTGAAAACGGTATTTGATGTGTGTCTTCAATGTCATTCATCCATCTTAGGTAATCTAACCTTTTGTAAACAAAACAATTCATTTTTATGTCTTTTTATGACACAAATCTCTTTGTATGTACGTTATGTTCGATATGAATATCACAAAAACCATATTATCAGCATAAATTTCCTCTTTTGGGAAACAGCCCATAAAAAAGTGCGTTTAGAGGTTCTGAAATATTCTTGGAAGGCAAATCGTCAACAGCTTTTTCAATTCTAACAATACATGCAACATCTGGCGTGACCATAGATGGATAAAAATGAACATCCATGTTCTATCATCACAAGCACACACTTATTATTGAGCATCTGACCGTTAAAGTGAAAAAGCTTGTACAATAGCACTTACTTAAAAACAAGAATTTGATTTGAAAAAGTCGCTTTGATAAACACTTCTCTTCTACTTCCTCAACCAATTTTTTTCCTCCAAAAAAATCTGTGAGTGTAACGATAATGTGGATATTATTAGTAACATAATCGTATAGTCACATTTTAATACTGGATAATCTGGTCATCAAAGCTATCAAGTTCTACTTCTGCTCTAATTTGTCCCTAGGCTCATAGATGAGCAATGTGTTTCTCTTCCTCTCAGCTTGGTCTTCCGGATGAATACCCCAATTGCGCAGCTGCTATCCTAAGCATAACTTGTAGTTTCGAGCATTAAATTACCAAAGACACAATACGACTTAATAGAAGGATAATAAAGATTTGAAGTTATAACAGATTTTAGAACGCATGTTTCAGATATCTCACGAGATTGGTCAGATCACGCATTATGGTGGCCTGAAAAGCGTCGGTGGCTCCAGCATACCAGATCTACTTTAGATCAAAATGGTATCACAGCAGAGACTAAGCTTGAGTTCACACCAATGCACAAGGACGTTAGGTAGGTTTTTTTTGCAGAAACAATACAATGATGATAATTTTCAAGAGTGCAATTACCTGATCTCCAAATGATCGATGCTCGACTTGATTTCTCAGTTAACATTGTTAAGGCTACTGCCAAGCTCTGTCGGGATTTGGGAATGAGACACTCAGAAGAATTGAGTTTGAAGAGGTATAACCTTATACCTCATCCTACATGTGATATTCCTAACCTATTACAGATATATCCCTCCAGAGCAATTGAGAAAAGGAACACAAGATCCAGAAAATATGAGCGGACCCGTTCCAACTAGACCTGGAGAAGAGTCTGTTGGTCCAATGACTTTGAGAAAAGCGGCACCTATTTTCGCTTCACAATCGAATCTAGACCGTCGTCGCCAACAGTCACCAGCTCTTTCCACATCTGGTCATATTTTCAATGCTCACGAAATGGGAACATTACCAAGACATGGAACTCTTCCCCGCGGCGCAAGCCCTAGTCCTGGAGCTGTAAGTTTCACACGTTTACTTGATTTACCTTTGCGCTGTATGAGGAAGGAAAAGAGAAGAGACTCTACTATGATATCATAATGCGAAATTCTCAGAAAAGAAAAGTTACCTATATATGAGAGACGATACTTGAGTTGTTTGAATTCAAAAGAAATGTTGAATCAAGAAAACTAATATTCCTCATTTCAGTACAACGGTACTATGGGCCGCGTTCCTATCATGCCCAGTATCAGCTTTTGTGAAGGACTAGAGAACGATCAGTTCGATATGGCTCTTGTCCATTCACCTAGAGTCGTCGCAACAAGAGACACTCCAGTGTTTAGACCTCAAAACTATGTGGAAAAGGCTGCATTGAACAGAGGATGGCTCGATTCAAGCAGGTAATTTTGTTCAATAGATACTGGTGATGTAATATTGAACAATTCAAGATCTCTCATGGAGCAAGGAGTCTTTGAAGGAGATATTGTATTGCTCAGATTTAAGTACATGAGCTTCTACGACCTGAACCCAAAGGTATAAGATTGCTAGAAAAATGTATTTTATAAATGTTTTGTTACAGTATGATCCAGTTCGCATTAATCAACTGTACGAACAGGCTAAGTGGTCTATCCTTTTGGAAGAATTTGATCATACCGAAGAGGAAGCTACTTTGTTCGCTGCATTACAGGTAATATCATTATTTTTACCAGAGGCTTCAACAGAAAAGATTTAGTTACAAGCAACTCTCCAAAGAGACTCTCCAGAACCTGAAGGAAATGAAAAAGATGATGTAGACATGATGCTTGATGAGTTGGTACGTTTCCCGGTTCATACAAAATTTTATTACCTATATTAAAGGAGAAGAACTTGGACACTGCCGTTATGGGAGGAAGACATTCTGACCTCACTCAGGTTCCAGAGTTAGCTGACTACTTGAAATATATGAAGTGAGAGCAAAACCATGAAGTTTTCACTATTTTTATTTCTAGACCCAAGAAACTTGCTGCTTTCAAAGGATTCAAGCGGGCGTTCTTCACGTTCCGTGATTTGTTCCTGAGTTATCATCAAAGCCCAAGTGACATGCACTCACCTCCTCTTGGTCATTTCTCACTAAAAGGTTGAGTTGATTATAAACATTTCTATAACAGATTTCCCGATTATAGGATGTGAAGTTAGTCCTGATGTTTCTGTTTCTCAAAGCAAATATCACATCAAACTTTTGGTACCTACTGCTGAAGGAATGACAGATTTCATTTTAAAATGCGATACGGTAGGCTCTTTGCATGTCATCGACTTTACAAGTATATCTCTTCAGGAACATCAATACGCTAGATGGATGGCTGCTTGCCGCTTGGCCTCCAGAGGAAAATCTATGGCTGATTCTTCATACCAACAAGAAGTTGATAGCATTAAGAGCTTGCTCCATATGCAAACTGCTGTTAATGGAAGGGAAAATACCGGAAGTAAAAAAGCTCAAGCTGTTAAGCTACCATCAGATTTCAACGTCGATGAATACGTTTCATCTCGATATGTACGACGTGCTCGAAGCAAACAATCTGTGAGTTTGTAATGGTATGAGAGAATTATGCAAATCTTGTTCCAGTTACAACAAAAAATTTCCGACGCTCATGGTAATGTTCGCCAACTTACATCAACAGATGCTAAACTTCAATATATCCGAGCTTGGCAAGCACTACCCGAACACGGTTTACATTACTTTATCGTGCGGTTCCGTAATGGAAAGAAGAACGATCTTATCGGTATAGCACTCTGTTTGATTTTCATGAAATAACTTTTGCAGGCGTTGCCACTAACCGTCTGGTTAAGATGAATATTGATAATGGCGAGAGCTTAAAAACCTGGCGTTTTACAAATATGAAGAAGTGGCATGTTAACTGGGAAATTCGGCATTTGAAGGTTCAATTCGAAGATGAAGATATAGAATTCAAGCCACTATCAGCTGACTGCAAAGTATGTTGAATGATCTGAGCTTGCGATAAATCATTCTTTCAGATCGTACACGAATTCATAGGAGGATATATCTTCTTATCTATGCGTAGTAAGGAGCAAAATCAAACAATGAACGAAGAAATGTTCCACAAGCTCACTGGAGGATGGGCATAGGCTTAATTAGTTTTAATTCTGTTTTGAGAAGCTCAATTTCTTTCTTTGTTCGCTATATCATTTATTTAACTATTTCAAAAAACTTAAAGTTTTACTCGCATGTATGATTCTAATAAGAGTAAAAGAAAACAGAGGTCATGTTGTTATACTATTTTAATTTTTGTAATTACTTGAAGCTCATCATAATGCCTGACCATAATCGCGTGCCTTGTGCCAAGTCTTTGGAGAATTTAATAAATTTCAATATAATATATGATTCTTCCTTCAATTGTTATTCAAGAGAAAACAAAATCGTGGAACAAGGAAGAAAAAGGGAAAAGAGGACTGCCACGTAAGAGAACAGTATAGGACTCACGTCGGATAATTTCCACGTGAAAGCATTTTTCACAAACTGTTTCTGACGATCGGTTGAATCATCCGTTTCAAAATAGCTAATGATGTTCAGTTTTTATATACATCTTACAGGCAGAAGAACTATGTTCAATTTTCAATATTTGAACTGTAAAGAAAATAAGATGTTAATTTTCATGAGGATTGCTCACAAGAAGATATGATATTGGTTACATTTTATCTCCCTTTTTGAATAAAAATATCATCTTATAGCCGAGTTATAAGCTTTCTCAACAAAACTCACTGGGAGAGGTTTTATTCAAATGGTCGTATTCTTGCGAATGCGTACGCTTGACATTGGAGCTACCTTCAGTTTCAAATTTGAAAACGAATTCTTTCTTTGTTGAATCTTAAGAAAGGTGTGTAACTTCTCTGAGCTAATTCGATCAAACCATCAAAACGATAAAATATTCATTCAGTTATAACTTTTACAGAGTCTGGGATGAAAGATTTAACTACTAACGACTTAGACTTAGTCTTCGATAAGCAAAATTTGGAATGTCCAGCAGTCGTACGAGAACGACTGTTTCAAGGTAAGAAATATACTCTCGACAGAACACCAAATAATTATAGGAAGAAATGATATATCTACGGATGTTTGGTCAGCTCAAAATGGGTACAGTTGGTTTGTAAATCGCCACGATCTCTATGTTTGGAATCAGGTTTGAATTTCTGAATGTTCTAAGTTATTTCGTGTTTTAAGGTGTCCAAACTAAAAATCCTTCAGTTCTCGTTACCTACCACAGGATTACCATATTCAGCTAATTCTATAGCAGTATTCAAGAAAGGTGAGCCTGTTTGGTAGAAAAGCCTTAACTTATTCTGTTTGAAGACAGAAAAGCTGGAGTGCTAGCCGTCTCTGGAGAAGGATGTGTTCGGTATTGGGCATCTCTCAGTTCAAATCAGTTCTTTGAAACAACATTAGACTTATCCAAAGAAGTAGTTCTTTCCGTCCAAGTTCTGGATCATGAGTCTTCAGGTTTTTTTTTGATATTTCTGTAAATGAAAATTGTTTTTGTAGCTTCACCTAATAGCTTACTTTTCTTGCTCTCAACTACTTCGGGATCAGTTTGGATATTACGGGCTGATTTCCAAGATGGATCACTTAGCTCACTTAAGGTTTCTTCCCAGTTTTTTTAAAAATTATACTGTTTTCTTAGGTTGGAGGACGCGACGAGAAGGGAATAACCCGAAGATTATCGTCCATTCTCTTCGGATCTTCTAAAGCGTCTATGGAAGCGTGCGTTTTTTTACGTGAAAAAAGTCTGGATTAGCATTTTTAGTTCAAGGGTGATAAGAAGTTTGGTCTATTGGAGAGAAAGTGAGGAAGTCGATCAGCATAATGACTCCGTGTACGATCCCGTTGCTTTGACTTTATCATCGAATACCCTACAAGCTTTCGACATAAGAGGAAGAGCTCTTCTTTGGAGTTACTCTAATGTTACTCTCATGGACCGAATAGAATCTACGCTCAAAGTACCTGTTTATTTTGTTTTTTTTTCTGATTTGTCTCTTTCAGCGCATATCAATGACTGAAATTCTTGATGTTCGGGTATATTTTCTGGACATAGCTTGCTTCCGTGAGGGATTCTTGGTTCTCTTAGGAGCAACACATGAATCAGCCAATAATATCACGTTTTTCTTAGGTTTTTTTTCCCGAGTTTTACTAATTTTCAACGTTAACATTTGAGCTCATCTGGAGGGTGGTGATTACACAGCTCCTCAACTTGGTTGGTCTTCTCACATTCCAATCAGCTCTTCTTGTTCCCATCACTTTGATGTATGTTTAGAATAGTTCGGTATTTGAAACCATGTTATTTAAGGTTATGGACGAGTCATCCTTTGTGGGAAGGGTTAAATTGTTTGTTCCTCAAGAAACAGGACAATCTTCAACTTGTGAAAGAACTGATGGTGTACTGATAATATATGCTGGATATGGTTTGTGAATACCAGAATAGCATCTAATGCTGAATTTCAGTACAATCTGTATATGTCCCCAATGATCTCGGACGAATAAACGAGCTACCTCTCAACAAAATGCTTCTATCAAGCGAGAAAATAATTGGAGAATCTGTAGATGAAAGATATTGCTATATTATGACAAACAATGGTGTTGTCTCAGCCCTGAGACTTCTTCCGAAGTATATTATGTTTTCCGAGATATTCAAAATTTTATTATTACAGAGGGTTTGAGGAAACAGGTCTCCATGAGGTTTCGTTCAGTGATGTTATCCCTGATATAGTTCCTGAAAACTCAAAAGTGGACGCATTCCATAAAGCTTATGCCCACTTCGCGAAAAAAGATATTGTAGAGTTCATTTTCCAGACTGTATTTCAAACTATATTCTAGGCAAAAGCTAGTGCTCTTATGAAACCTCTTCTTTCACTCAAAAACAATGATCTTGCAAGTTTAGCTTGCAAATATCTATTCAACTTAATCGATCAAACCGGTAAGTTCTTTACGCTTTGTTCTTCACATGGTTTGTGTTGTAGATTCTGATTGTCTCGTAGAGAATGAGCTACGCAAGAAAAAAAGGCAATGCCAAGGAGTTATTTTATTCTTAAAACAGATGGACATTTATGAGAAGGTACACTCAATAGTTTTCTTTTGAATTTCTTGTGCTATTCCAGGTCAGAACAGGCAAAGTGAATGTAAACGGTTCTCCTAAATCCGGTGCTGCTTTCTTAGCACAGGTAAGAGTTTGCAGATAGAATCACTAGTTCATTTCTCTGTAGATGTATGAACAAGTTCACATTGCTGTAGCCATACGTGAATGGCAGACATTAACTGAAGATAATGATTTTGCCCTCAACATGATCAGCGATATCGTCGGTAAGATGTATGGAGTTCAAGGCGATGCAGATAGTATTATTCTCGGCAAAGTAATTTTTCTTAATCATTTGAATTATCTACTTCTGTCTAGCTCTCAAATTTGAGTGATGTGCCAAGAGCAACTCTGAAAGCCATGGAAGAGCTATCGAAGAAAACCTGTGATGAACGATTTGTAGTCCTTCAAATCGCAGCAGATCTTTTCCTTGCAATAGCCACCGCTATAACAAACTGCAGAAGGTAATTTATTCACTTCGTTGGACGTCTTCGAAAATATCTCCTTAACAGATCTACTGCTAGTGTCACTCTAGTACCTGGCGAAGAGCTATGGACAGGTGGATCATTCGCTGATACATTTGATGCTCTTGTTAGTAAACTGCATGTAGGATTTTTTCATTCTATCAATCGTTACAGGCAATAACACTACTCAATGAGCTGAGAAGCGCAACTCTGGGTAGAACTGAAAGCGCTAGACTGAAAGATTATGCTGTTAGGTAGTATCCATGTTTGACAGCTTGATTCAAATATTTGTGAAGGTTGACAATGTTTAATCTTGGAGAACGTACAGGAAGAATAGAAGGACATCCAACTTTGGTTGCTCTATATACGTTGGGAGAGGAAAAAATAGCTCTTGATCTCGCTGAACGATTTAAAGTAGCTGAATATTAGTTTTTTGTACCATTCTTTTTCTTTACAGGATTTTAAACTTCTCTGCCGTATTTGTTTGGAGTATGAGAAGGGTCTCCGTGATGAACGTTTAGAAACTTACAAAAAGAGATTCGCTGACGACGACTTCGATATTTATTTGTGCCAATATTTAAAGAATAAAAGTGAGCATCCATAATGTATAGCGCTCATTTTTTTTTTCAGATTTAAATGAAGAGCTTCTAGAGCAAAAAGGAGAACGCGTTGATGGATTTTTGTCTTCTCTCGATACCATGAGATGGAGGAGAGAGTTACAAAACAAACAATTTGATAAGGTTTTTCGTTCAAGGTTTTCTTCGATTATCAACCTATGTGGTTCAGGCTGGTCGTTCTTTACTCAGCCTTGCTGATCGTGAGGAAGACGACGCTTGGAAACAGAAGGTTCGTCTTTCTTATTCTGTGGTAAATATCTTTCTCTTTTCTCAGGCTTATTATTCACTTGCCAAACTATCTGCTCTTTGCTCCGAAAACAGAGATGAAGAAGTGATCTCTATGTGTAATGAAAAGTTATCTCAGCAGGCATCATGACTCGGTTCAGAAGTTGTTGAGCTATGAAAGATGAATAGTTTGGAGCTGTTTCCATTCTTTGAAATCGGTTTTTCTTGTTCATGCCTGCCTCTATACGGTTATGAAAAACAATAAATATTCCTTTCCCCTATCCAATTTCGTTCTTGCAGCTTATAGCAACCCTTTCTAGAGGGGGGTAAGAAGGTTGAACAAAACCAATAGACGATTTTTCCAACATGGCTATTGTAAATGCTCCAGGAGAAAACTGAGTCCGAATAGTTAATGAATCAGTCGGAAGAGAAAGGACAAACGAGGAACACGAAATACAATATTCAGGAATAATATTAGGGAATTCCCTACTAAAGGATACTTTAACAGTTCTGTTTTGTTGCAAAAACAAACAACAATCCATGATTAAACTAGCTGCAAAATACTAGATTTTCTTCATTTAAGCTGAAAGTAAAAGCAATAAGCAACAATGAAAGTGTGCCCAATATAAATAAACACCCAATTGTTACTGAGAATGAGGAAGAAGTGCGTTGAATGAGCAGGCACCAAAAGCGGTCATGTAAATGAGTCTAATGAAAGAAACATTCACTTCATGAGCATTAAGCTCGTTATGGAGTTTTTAAGAATGGTTTGTTTCCGGAATGCAGTTAAACTTCTTAAAAAACGAAGATTCTTGTGCCATTTGATCGTGAACTTCTCCTAAAAAACGCATTCGCAGTAATCTAATTTTACTTAAGTAAGCTTATTAGTTTCCTCTTGAATTCAGAGAAGTAGTTCAAGTTTTGCTTCCTGGATACGAAGAGCTCATGAAAAGTGTGTTCAAAGTATTCAGCAGGGTGAATGAATGATGTTATGTCAAACATATTATGATCTCTCAAGTTAATGCTGTTTTTCAACATTCAGAAGTTTCAGTGTTGTTTTCAATAGAAAAAAACCAAATATACGTTTAGTAACGAACTTTCGCATAAAAATACCCAAAACCGCATGACAAGTATGAAGAACCCATTGCTTTTTCGTATTCACAGGAATTTTAAGGATTATACCAATCCAAAAATAATAACGTAAATGTTATAACTATAATACAGAACAGCACAACTACTCGACGACCCGCAGAGTTGCTAATAGCCTAGAAAGGATTCGAAGGATGAGCCTTATATGACTATCTGTTACCTGTCTAATCCATTCATTACCATCTTTGAGATTCTCAGTTGTGTGGATAGCTGTTTCATTTATAAGTTCTATATCCTTTTCTTGATTCAGGATCTGAATTGAGAAGTTCTCTTCAACAATAGGCTCGACGGCGTACCTTCTCTGCCAGAGTATCTTGCAAATGTTGAATTTCCGCTAACTGAGTTTCTAAACTATTGATTTCCACATTAACATGGGAAAATTTGTCATAGATCTTCTCGCATTCAATACTAAGCTGGGCCTTTTCTTCGGGGAGGAGATTCGATTCAACTTCCATAAAAGGATCTGAAACGCAAATAAGTTCAGTGTTTGGCTGTGTCATCTTCTTGGAACCAAGAAGAATACAGGCGACTATTGGAAGTTGGACAGACCTTTCTTCTCCAAAACTTCATCAATGAAATGAGCAGAAGAGGGCTTTTTCTTATCATGTTTGCCTCTGGAAATCCTAGTATCGAGCTCTTCATCGGAATCCGATGTTATCCCCTTCGTTTTCAATTCTTTAGAAGCAGCAGCAAAACCATAATCAACATTATCATCTTGGCGTAAGCCTATAAGAGTAATAAGCTATTTTATTCCGATAAAAACCACAAAATAAATTATTACGTCGTCTGATTCCCGTGTTTAATTCGGAGATTGGCGAATCTGAAACCTTCTCAGATCTTCCTTTTACTAATGTTGACAAGCGCATATTTGAAAGACGAGCTGCTTGGCCTTTTACTCTTAAAACTCTGTAATCTTCTATGAGTAACATTTGAGCTGCATTTTAAATTGAAAACCTCATTCTTGTTACTACTTTTACAATCTTCTTGAGTTCAAAATCTAAAAACTGGGCTACAAATCCTAAATGTTGTTTTTGTTCGGCCGATAAAAGCTCGTCCACTTTGACTCGACCATTTAATTTCTGGATAGTAGCTTCTAGTTGCCGTAAGGTCTAGGGAATTAGGGAAATAAGGCCAATTAAATCTTGTTCCCACTTTTTCACTGTCCTGATCGAATCTATCCCTCTCCTCATTTGACATAGAATTAATGAGCGAATTATAGGCAAGATAATCCTTTCTGAAATTCATCTTCTTTACAAGAAAGCTCTTTCTAACGGCAATATATTATTATTCCGCAGGGAAGGGAAAAAGGAAGAGATCAGAAAAAGAGTCCGGACAAGGCATATAACACAAGCCTCCTCCACACATCATCATCAAGTAAGCACGAGACCCCAGACTAATAAGAAAGGGAAGACGACAAAGTGTGAAAACGGGAGGCCAGTCAAGACTCTTTTTCATCAAAAACTGGACTCTCGTGCTCCACTAAGTCTTTGCTACATCCTCTCTCAATCCCCGTTCGTAAAATATGGAGGGAAGCAGAAGGGAAGAAGCATTACGATTAAACCAGCTGACCTTTGCGTCCAGAGGAGATAGGAGAATTCATGTATGCCCTTAGAAATAGCCAGAGCCATACACACTAAATTCTTATAAGCGGACATGGCAGGCGTTGGGACGGAAGCTTCTAAAATGGAGATGTAATGGAATTGTTCTTTCCCTAGCAACGACTACCATCCCGAAGATGATCCTCGACGGGACTTGCGCTTTTCTTCAGGCGCTGACATAATGTCTTAGTTCGAGCCTTGAAGTACGGTGTTTGGTCAATAGGCATCGTATGGATGTTCCTAACAGATTAACATATGTGAGCTAAACTATATTTTGAACAATTAATTGATCTGGAACTTCTCTTCTAATAGCTTGTCATGAAAAATATTCTACTCAATGGTAAACATCTATGGAAAATTGTCAAGAATTCATAAATAAGTTTATTTCAGGATTACATATAATACTATGCTACAAGTATGTGAAAAGGAGTTAAATATTACGAAGCGTATAAGACAGGGTCCGGACAAGTGGCAGCAAACACGCACAATTTTAGATTTTGTGAAACAAAAATTAAGAATAACGCTCTCTTTCTACTATTTCAGTGAGTGTTTCAAGATGACCAGAGCTGCTATTGCCAGAACCATTGCTACCTATTTTTTTTTTACGAAAGAGTTAATTTTAAAAAGGATAGATGCAAAGTGATTTACAAACACAACCAGGACCGTCGTGGGACGTGGGTACGAAACGTGCGAAAGATTACTTCTTAATTTTCAAATATCTTCAGTAAAAACAGAAAGGGAAAAGGTGCAAACGAATCCGTCCCGGAACTGAGTAGTTTCAGTTCAACTAGATGGAAAGATGGCACAATATAAGGACGGAATCTGTTTGTCTAGGTCTGCAATTACTTTCCTCCAGCCCAGAGAACAATAATGATGATGAGAATCACGACAATTGCACACATGATGATCATCATCTTGATGTTCTTCCACCAGTACTTACGCTTAAGAGTAGCAGCAGATTTCTCGAATTGGGAAGCTCCTTCCTGGAATCGGCTATATTTAGCAGAGATCATGCATTTTAATGAGTACCTGGAGAGCATCCGCACGATCGTCAAGCTGAGATAGCTTCTGATCACGTTCCAACACTTTTTCAACATTGACCTAGAAGATACCAGTTCTGATAGAATAGTGAGCTCTGTTTACCTTCATGATTCCAACAACTTCGTCAACTTGAGCTTGAGTTTGTTGGAGTCTCTTGTTGGATGGTCTGGGACCTTGACTACCGCCAGCAGCATCAGCACCTTGTCCTACAAGTAATGATAAATTAGAAAAAAGCTAACAAGAGGGAACTTGCCTTCCATCGCGAAGTTTGTTGAAATCAAGCTAATTTCCTGAAAATAAAAAGCTTGCTTATACTAATAAGAACGATAAGAAAAATGAGAAAATATGACGAGCTGCAAATACAAATAAATAAGTAACGATTCTGATCTCTCATAACTTCGCATTTCGACTCCGCCCCTCCAACTGTGCGCGCTATGGTTACATTGCGTATTTTTTGGACCGAGATGAAACATATGTTAATCAGTACCATACCAAGCACAAGGTAAACAGTCTTAGAAACGAAAATCAGTCTTTCGCAACAGAGATTAATTTGTAAGCTTTGATATTCCAAAAAGTTTGTTACAAGAGCGAGACGACAACATGGATTTTGTCTGGGATTCACAAACAATTAAACCGTAGGCCCTAACAGTAAATTGCTAGCAGCCGAGAATATGTTCACTAACAACTTTGACGAGTATGTTAGTAATACTTCTACTCGATAGGTATAACACAATCGATGAGACTGGTAAGTCACATGATCTTTCAAGTGAAAAACCAAATTAAAGAACAATTTGAGGTCAAACGTTTGTGATACAGTACAGATGGAATTAGATCTTTCGTGAATGAGATTCGCAGATATTGTGAAATAAGGCAAAAATGTTGGGGACAAGATGAGTAATGAAACTAAAGCCTCTAGAATGTTGTCTTTCATGCAAGAGTCAAGCTATTGTGATTGTCAAAAGAGCGTTAAAGTTCAAGCATTCTCCTATATCATGGCTAAGAATGAGGCTGAATGTGTTGGATTAGCTTTCATATAAAAAGCAGACAGATTGAAACTATATAATATGAAGATAACTAATCATTCGACTATATTTCGTCATTATTCTGTGAAATTGGAAAAAAGAATAACAAAATATCGAAAATACATACATTCGTATCTTTTCATATCCATTGAAAGACACGAATAGAAGTGAAACATCAACGTTTCTACATGTGGAAAACGACTTAAATGAGGACTTTCAGCAAATAAGATTCGTTTTTTTCTCGAAAATACTTTTGTCGTTAAGGAAAGTCATATTTTTTCTTTCAACTACATAAAAATTCAAATAAAAAATAACTAAAAGCAAATGAAAACTAGTCGAGAGGTACATCGTGTTTGATCCCCCCCTCCCCTTGCCTGAAGCGGTAGTGCCCAGTGAGCGAGCAGCTTGGAGAATAATCGATGCCTACTCGGTTAGACACCAAAACGAATAGCTACCCTCCCATGCACATCTCTTTCTCCACTCTTTTTCTCCTCTCTCCTTTCTCTCTCCCTCTCTCTATCTTACACCCTCCTCTCTTTTTACCAAAACAATATCCAACACTTTCGGCACGAGCTGGGCCAAATAGGCGGCGAAAGACGAGCAGTACAGCTCAAAAAAACATCAGTAATGAATGAAAGACCAAACGAACGAATCACGATAAACTAGTTAAGAAACCAGTTAAAAAATAAAACAATACGCACAATCTAGGAAAAGTTGAAGTTTGGGGTGTGCATGTGTGGGTAACAATCACAAAACACCGATACAACTGGCTCAACAGCACCGCGGCCGCGTCCTCACATCACTCAACCAATCGATTCCATAGATACGCGGTGGCTTACGAAACAGTCAAACACTACTTTTTTCGTTTGGAAATTAAATTTTTTTAAAATAATGCATCTAAGTTAGTAGAAATGACGTGAAAGCAGAAATTATGGACGGAGGAGGAGGGAGAATCAATGCGAAAACGTCTAGCGAATAGCGCCGGACGCTGGGCCATAACGATCAATAGAGCCTCGAGGGCGACCCATTGCGACGGAAACTAACCGCGCACGAAGTCGCGACTTGCACCAAAAACAACCATCGATCGTGCAGGTTTATTATTTCCTTGATGTCGTCGCTCGAGCCAGAAAAGTCTGGAGTCAGTACCAAACAGGAATGTTACAAAATGTGCGACGAATAACAAGTAAAGCGAGATGTAGAGGTTTCCACAATGAATGGAAAGAAAACTGAGTTTAATTATGAGTGGTGTCCAAAATTCTCAGCTCAGCGCGAAAATTTGTGGTAGACTAATTATCTGAGTAATTGTTAAGGACGAGGACATGAATCATGGATGTTTAATCCAACATCAAGTGTGATTCTTCCACACGCAACAACCACAGAGACTTCAGTTTAAAGTGAAAGAAAAAAGTTGAATTCAAAACATCCCAATGTGAGTAAAAAACAGAAAAGTTGATCCGTTTCCTATCCGTACATTTAACGAGCAAGAATCATAAATTACAAATGTGCTCATAGCGCTTTTTCCAAAATAGAAGCGTACAAAATATTTCCATAACGCTAAGCAGAATAGTAAAAGAAATAAACGGCTAAAAGGAATTTTCATTTCGATCATGTTCAAGTTGAAGGCGAGTCGATATGAATCAGCAGGACAGATAGCGAAAGATTCAAGTGAATGACAAAATTTTTCGAACGACCGATGATAAAGTGAGAGAGCGAGAGACCAAGAGAATACAACATTCATGATTTCCCAAGAAATTCCATAATCAATATAAAATAGCACAAAAACGAATCAAAGTAGTTGGGCATACTATTTCCTAGAGAAATGAAAATATTAAAGACGTTGTGACGTCTATTGCACTGGTACTGCTGCAAATCATAGAGGGCCTGAGGGTTTCAATGCAAACGAGTATGAATAGGCAAGCATTTTGGTCCATTCGTCTACCTTATTGGACCACAATTATGAAGGCAAAGAAAATTGCAGCCATATATGGAGTTTGTGGCAGAACGAAAAAACGAGCAAAGGACACGACAACACATTGAAGCCACGTGTATAAAAAATTAAAGAAACCCGTAGAGGCGAAACATAGAATGTAACTGCCAAATGTTTACGAGCTATAGAAGAGCAGAAACTTAAATCTTGTCGAAAATAAACGGAAAGCAAAAAACAAAAGATGAATACTGAAAACATTAAAAAACTAAAGGAATATAGAGCCAATTGGTTTTCGATAGAGATAACGATAGTTAGAAAATTCATTAAAATGAATTATGAAGGAGAGTGTTTGAACTTATATACTTACAAAGTCATACTTTGCCCTTCCTTTCATTCAAAAAATCAATAGAAAAAAAAGTTAACTAGCCCGGAACAAGCATGGATAAGCACATATAACGAAGAAGAATTAGGAAACCTTAAAAGCTAAGCCTACTTATTATTTAACAATATGGATACCCAAAGTGGTATTAGAATAGAAGCACTACCGATTTCGAAGAGCGTTAAAGTAAAAATGAAGTTATGCGCGCCAATTTTCACGTCAAATGCTTACACGTGAATTAACCAATCAAACAGGACGTGGATGGGCAAACACTAAAATATATTTTTAAACAATGGAAGACATTATTCAGTGCTATGTGGGATAAATAAAAACTTATTGATCTGAATAGAAATGTTGAATTAGTATAAAAAGAACGTGAATATGCATGACATCAGTCTATCTGAGGGTTTCCTGCAAAAAAAAGCGGCATAACAACAGAAGAGCGCTTTGAGTTCTCTCTTCTTCTTTTTTTGGACGGCGAAGCTTATTTAAAAAGTCTCCTAATTTCTAGAACTTCCCTGTTTGCTTCAAATTATATACGAAAGACATCATTCTGGAACATTCAGGAAAATAGCCGAATACTGCTTTGGAGGGATATATACATTGACACAATACTGTTCAGACAAAAAAGGTGTGAAATGAAGATAACGGATATGGTGGCAGCCATAATGGATTTTGTCTGTGGTCATAGTTCACACATTTTTTTGTAAGGTACAAGAATTTGTACTGTAATCTGCCAATGGCATGTCCGCATGTTTTGGAGCGCGCGTTCTTGAAATTATGAAAACTGACCGACAAAGAGTGTGTTAGGTGCGAAACGGAGGTGCTGATAAACCAAGGGACCCGCTGTCACCTTCCTGAGAAGATAATTGCTGTAATAGGCGTATCGGTTTCTTGAAAGCTCTATCCACTATATAAGCTCAAGCCATTACGCAAAACAGCATCATTTATAAGTATTAGCAGTGATTCAAAATGGTTTCCATCTCTTTCCGCGTTCCTGCAGCACATGCGATGACAATGATTCCAATGTCTAATTACAGTGTTAACCAAGTAAGTTCAAAACATTTTTTATTGTTTGAACGAGTAATATAAATATTTTGTATTATAGGACAGGAACTATGTTAGTCGTCGTCGTCATAACGCTATTGTTGATTTCTTTTTTGGCCATTCATCTTGGGTAGGGTTTTTTTGTTTTTATTGATATTGTTAATGATTTTCTTTTCAGCACTCAATTATTTTCTATGTCTTAATCGCTATATTATCTCTTGGATATAATTTCGCAGTTTTCTATCTTAATTTTGGCGAAGCCGAGTATGTAGACGGACTGTTCAGTAAGTTGTCTCATGTACTTACCAAATGGATTAGCTGATTTCAGGCGAAGTCACATTACTCCGACTGATTTCTTGCCAATGGCTGTTATCATTCTTTCTGGCAACTTTGGCAATTCTTTATTTTCATGAAGTTTGTCTGCCAGTTTATGTATTTTTATCAGTAAGTCCAATTAGGAGTAAATCCACGAAAAACAAAGCTTTTTCAGATTTTAACCACAAATGGAAGTGCAGTTTTATTTGTCATCAATGCAAGGAAAGTGTACGATAACGTAATGGTTGTAGGTGAGTAAACATCATGAATTCTATTCCGTAAATGAAGAATATGTTTTAGATTCTCAATATTTCATGATTCTCTGCTTCATATTTGGTGCCAGCATTGCTCATTGTGCCATTTACATATATGCTTTGCATCTTCAAGAACAAGATGACAGGTTCGTAGAAAGAAGAAGCTAGCCATATCTTGTATTTGGGAATGTTTTTAGGGTCGTGCATGAGAATCAACAACATTATTTTTGGAATTTCTTGCAATTCCGACGAGTTCAGGTTCCATTAACTGATGAGTTTGAAAAGAAACACAAAACTATTTATTCTATTGTATAATTCTGTTATTCTTCATTTTCAGAACTGATATTTTTGTTTTCAAAAGAAAGAAAAAAGAGAGACTTGTATTTTTTAAAAATATTTGTTTTATTATCTTATTAGTCATTCAAAGTTTTTGGTGGGATGTGCCCTTTGAGTTCGGGTATTCATAGTCTTATTAACATTGGTCTTGTATATAATTGTAATAATATAATAACTAGAGAAATAAGATGATAACTAATAATTATGTTCAATGCATTGAAAGTTTTTCTCAAGCAATTACCTTTGCAGATTATTTCGGGAATATAATTAGAAATTTCCATGATTGTAGAGAGTCAAACAACTTCTCAAACGCTTCATCAATCACCGGGCTTAGACAGGACTATGATTTTGATGGAATGATCTCGGTGAGATTAGGGACGACGTAAGTTTTTGGTTTGAGCTATCCCCACATTGAGATGCTTTCATATATGGATTTTTCTTTGAATGAATAGTATTGTTATTAATAATTCCAAATATAGTAAGGGAATTGCGGCTTCAATTCGTTACACGAATAATTTTCCTTCTCGCTCTGAGAACTATAGATTCTTATTTGTTTTCTCGCTTCTTCTATGAGTACGACTGAGTTTTCTCCAGTGAGTTTTCCGAAATTCATTGCACATTATTTAAGTTTTTGATGTTTCTTATACGGGGACTGATGTAATGAATTATTAAAGTATTAAAAGTGGATTCCTCTATTGCTTAGCAACTTGAAACCCTTGTATCTGGAAAAGAATGACTGTAATTAGGATAGATTTATAGATAGAACATACTTGTTTCACTTTGCTGTCATGATGTTCACAACAGAGTTGAAACAGAACATTACTTTGAGCACTAGAGGTTTTTTTTTTCGTCTACTAGTAATCCCAACCGTTCAGCTCGTAAGATTTTCGAAATAGAACACCCCTCCCACACGTGAAATTACGTGGAATTGTGTGTCCACGTATGCTAATCAGTTTGTTTTGCGTTTCGTAAACAAAATTTTCAGTATACTAATGAAGGTTTAAGAGAGAAGATCTCAACAATAACTTTCAGTTGGCCTTCAGTTAAGATTCTATTGCTTCGTAAATAGTTTTTAGCTTTCCAGAAGCTTCTCGCACGTATTGTTCCCTTTCTTGTTTTTTTCATCAAAGAGTCAGCTAATAATTGCCATAATAATAATTTTTAGTTATAATACTTCCAATCTTCATCAATATATTATGAAAACGACTTAAGAAGCTTATTTACTCAATCTTTTCAGCTGGCTCAAAGTATTTTTTGAAAGTGTAACTACATTATATAGAATATCTATTATGAAGTGTTTGTCTTCCATATTGCAACCTCTGGAAAGGTTGACACTTTTTTTTAAACCATCCACCATTATCAGGTTTCATACGTAAGCAAAGAGGATGGCTTCCTGCCCGCGCATAACGTGAAACATTTGCTTCTCGAGCATCTTTTGGGTCTTGCTTGTGCTCCGGCTTCAGCTTCTGTCTCTCTTACTGCCTCTTTCTGTGTAGTCGTGCATTATTATTGGATTTGGGTCCTTGGACGGAAGAGTTGCTGAGAGATCGATGCCGCGGCGCAACCGCTTCGCGTCTCAGCTTCAGCCTTTTGAGGCCTTAGGCACTAAACTCTCAACAATTACAAACCTCACACAACGCTGGCTTGTTTCTTTGATAGGATAAGAAGCCGGAGTTGAAGGCAACAACGACGCATAAAAGTTTACAAATACATTGAAATGGGTATTTCAGCGATCCAATGCATGCTGATCCACATCTTTGTCTTATGTTCTCGTTTGGTTGCGTTTGCATTTCTTTTCTTGAAGAATCATCTTTATTTCATTATGATTTTCTTCAATTGTGTTGCATGCAGTAACTCATTTTCAAGTAAACCGTTTATGGGGCTATGCATTTTTTCCTGAGCTTCACAGCTTGAGCTTAAGCTGGAAGTAACAGTTGCATGGAGTTGTACCTCCCTGGTGATAACGTGTCAACATACGTGTGAATACTTGACGCATACGTTGCCGGAGCAGTTTCTAATCCAGATATGTTGTCTAGTTCTAATAGCCTTCAGCTGTCATGTTATTCCGCCATTTACATCTGTCAAAAGTCAAATTTTCCTATTTTTCTTCGATATATATGTTCTCTCTTGCTTTCTCTTTTTGTGATGTTATAGACGTTCGAATGTTTTGCATCTTACCCAATGTTCCTTTGTTAGGTTCCGCTGATTCTTATTTTTGAAAATTTTGTAATAAAATAAGTCTTACATTTACCACAAATCTCTTCAGCCATTAACGCCATCGAAGCATCCACACCAGATTGCATCTTACATCCTTTCCATCTATGTATATCTCATTATTTATCCGCACTATCACTTATAAACAATAGCATTTATAAGCAAAATTGATTTCTTTTTTCATTTTTTTTTCACGCTGAATGAGATTTTCCAATTTGGCCAAGCTTCTAGGCAACTGCAGTTTGTTTTTTGACATTGCAGTTCTCACATCTCCGATTACTCATGGGAGTGTTCATCTAATAAATTAAGTTGCTACATCTAGCATCTTTGTGGAAATGCGAAACTATTCATCTCAAGTTTCTCAATAAATTAAAAATTAATTTTACTTTTTAATTATTGATCCTTTAATTATGCATAGTTCGCTATTTCCTTAAAGAAAAAAACCTTTTTTTTGTTGTTTGTGGCCTGTTGTCTCCATTCGCGAGCCATGCCATCTTCGAGGTTTAAGCTTTGGATGCTTTCTAACGTTTTAGCTTTGCACTTTATTCATCCAAAAATGCAATCAGCCAATAAAACTTTTGTTTAGGAATTTTTTATGTAATTATCTTGAAATTTTATTAGAATTTCAGCTTTCAACTAACGTCATAAAACTTATGTTGGAGCATTTGGCTGGATATTCGTTGTATTAAGAGTTTTAAAATCGATTGTATATGGATTTTGAATACAATTTCCATATATGATCACATGTGAATATCTGTGTTTCTCTTTTGTTGTCTGATTTCTGTTCCCTTGAGTGCTATGTTCATATTTGTATTTTAGTAACCCCCAGGGGGCAAAAAAGATGGACAGTCGCTGCTATTCCATTTGGTTCTTTCAAAGCTCATTTAAAGCTGAATGAACGAAAGTGATTTGTAGCCAATATGAGTTTTATATTCATTGCTGAATATTTAGTCTTTCTTTATTCTTCTTCGCTATTCAAAGCTTTCAACTTGAGCCCAAGTCTGATTCATTGATCTGCTGATATTTGGAGCATCGTTTCCTAAATGAAGTTCTGTCCTTTCGTCTTCTTTTTGTTTATTAGTTCCTTTCAAATGTTTTTCCTATTGTTCATTTCAACTTATTGACTAATCTGCTGTCTTCAGTCATGCATCCATTCATTAAGGTTAAGAAACATGGCTTTAAGTAATTTCTTTTACCCTCTTTCATCTTTTTTTTGACCCTGTCTCTGCTACTAGTTTCACATATTCCCTTGAATCTAGAAGACAACTTTTTGAAATTTTTTGAGTCAGCTCTCTCAATGTTGTTTCGACAGCATTATGCCCTAGAAGCTCAATTCCGATCTGGCAACCGATCCTATCGCTCACTGGGAAAGTAGCTCATCCTATACCACAAGAAGTCGAATCAGAGAAATGGATTAAGAAGGCCATGAAATTCGATAGTCTGCCCGAGAATTGCCCAATTGCTGGCGGGAATTCCACATTTTGTTATTTTGATTTTTCCTAAATCACATGTGTATTGCTATTGAATTTACAACGTGAAACGTAAATCAATTCAATTATTTGTTTTCATTCTTTCTTAATTTGTTTTCGTTTAATTATCCTATGCTGATCACTGAGCTTGAGTTTGGCCCCTTCTCTAAGGTGTGAAAAAAACACCACCGCTCTCGGTATCCGAAAACGCGAAAATGAAATTTCACTACGTGACAATCGCGTGAGTTCGATAATGAGCTGGAATTATTCGTCAAATTGTAAACGCCAAGAGCGGTTGTGCTTTGAGATTTTCAGTTTCCTAACATCCCTTCAGCGAGATTTGTTCTTGTTTCCGTCTCCAGAACGTTCAGTTTATCTTACTCCTCCTATTTTTACTCTTCTCTTACAAATGATTATCGGTTCTATTTGATTCAAATGTGTTTTATATCCTATTTCGGAACAGATTAGGCTTTTATGCTTGTTCTTATTTGTCAATAAGAGCAGTAGGCTTTCCAATTCATTTTTGAACTCTTCTTCTCATTCAATGTTGAAAATGTTAAACAAAATAAGTTTTCTTCATCTTTATAGGTCGTCGAATCAGTCGTCACTTCTCTCGCGTCTTAAGCTTTTGCTCTTTTCCTTCCATTTCGCATTTTGTCTGTCATTCGTGAAGCTCTCTTCAGTCGTCGAACTATTCATTTCTGATGCATCGTCAATTGTCTCCAGACCTCTATTGCCGTACTCCGACTGCTTATGAGTTTTGTTCTCTTTTTCTCTCTACTCTTAAGTATTCCTCTTACTCTCTTACTGCTTCTTCTGTCTTGTTCATCCATGTCATTCTATTTCCTTTTAACCTCATCTGACTATCTCTCATTTCTCATTTTGGGCTCAGTTTTTTCTTTTCCAAATCAAAGCAGAAAAAAAAGAAAAGAAAAGACAGCAGAAGAGTTTCGTCCCATTCCTTATCCTCTCCTTTCTCAAACTAATCTTTCAGTTTACTTCCATTTTATGCATTTGGTTTTCCATCCTTATTCATACTCAGAAAATGAACGTAGGAAGGAAACGAAACTATTTCGAGCTTTCTGATAAGATGAGATGAATATTTATATTTCTTCACACATATTCACTAATCTTTCTCATTATTTCTTGGAAATGCTCTTTCCATACATGGATCTCAATCGATTTTGTTGTAAATGGCTCTCCACTCCAACACTTTTTTAATCATTCTCTTGAAACTTGCAACTACTCGCTAAGAAAACTCTAGTCTTGTCTCTCATATTACTCAGAACACAAGAA